TCGGAAGAAGGAAGACGAAGATCAGGAAGACAAAGTGGAGAAGTTCTTCGAGCTGATCAGGAATTTCCGCGAAGCTCGAAAACGTCTCGCGATCAGACGACAAACGGTGGAGACGGAGACGATTAGTGGTGATCATGATGATCAATTATTTGTGTCGGATGATCAGAAGAAGAAGAAAAAGAAGATTGACAAGAGTAATAAGAAGAGGAAGATCATGACGGATATTAATTGGGTGACTTCTTCATCATATTTGTTCGAGAAGGAGGATTTCACTGCTGATGTTGAGTTCAGAGGAACTCCTTCAATCTTCCCTGATCCCTGCAATGTTACAGACAAACGACGTGTTCAAAAAGATGGTTTGGACCTTAATCTCACGCTATAGATTGGGATTCTTCTGCTTCTTGAACATGTCGTTTCTGTATTTTTATAAGAATATTATGTGTTTGTTACTTTTGTTTCTATCTAGCTCTGTTTTTCCAAGTGTTCTGTAATTCCCGAGATCAGTTCCGAATCAGAATGTGCACTGCGCTAGAATTTTATTTTTTTCTTGTAAAATTGTGGGTATACTTGATGCGATGAGAAAAAATGGTTATGCGGCAGAAAAATTGTGGGCAAATCCAAATACTTGTCGATTGAGGCAGAACTCAAAAGATAAAAAAATGGTTTTGAGGTTGCCAATTATGGTAGTAGACCCCACAAAGAAGGTACGTGGAGCAGGAACTATACTAGGTAACATTATAATGGTGAATTCGTTGCATATTTCTCCAGCATTTAATTGGGGACCTCGAACAAAACGACAAGAAAAAGAGAATTTTCTCTCAATAAAAAAATCATGAGTTTTTTTTTTTTTAGGTCTTATTTGGTTTAACTATTTAAATTGTTGATTTAGTTTGAATTGTGGTGTTTTAAATTATGGTGTATTGAATTGTGATTCAAACGATGTTTGAATATATAAATAAATTATAATTTAAATTGAGAATAAAATTTAAATTGTATTTAAATAAAGTGTTAAAAATTATTATTAAAATTTTATAATAAATTTTATAAAATTTCATTATAAATAATATTTAAAAATATGCAATATAGATACATATTTGTTCTTCTTTTTATTATAAATACATTAAAAAAATTATTTTAATTGAAATTAAAATAAAAAAATTATGATATTTTTAAATTTAAAATTAAGGATAGAAAAAAAATAAAATTAGAAATATTTTTATTATATAAAATAATTAAAATTGTTAAAATTTAAAAGGTGATAAATATTATTAATAGTTAAATTGTCTTTTATTGAATATCAATTTAAATCTTGAATTACGATTTAAATTCTAAATAAGAATTTGAATAGTTAAAATAAACAGGAACGTTTAGTTCATGAATTAAAATTATGTGATTAAAATTATTTTTAATTTATGTATATTTTTTATGAGAAAAAATACTGTATTTTCGTACCTTTAAAATAAGGTACAAAGTATCTTATTTTTTGTAGTGTTTAAGAATTTAATATTTAATTGTGCCTCTTCTGTCAATTACAGATGTTGGGTCACTTCAATATCACATCAGCCTTCAAAAGCTGGAGAACTTCATTATAACATGTCCTACCAAAATATCTAAGGGGGAGTGGGACTTTTGTGGACGCCATTATCGGAATAAAGGACTTTATGTGGATGCCTTTAGCTCGTTTGGTTCAATAATTTAAAATTTGTTATTTTATTGATTCGAGTTTTTAATTTAAATTGAGATATAATTTTATATGAGAGTTTTTATTATAGTAAAAATTTATATGTGATTATTTTTAAGAACTTTTTATTATAACAAAACTCAAATTTTAAACTCAAATCGGTGAAATGAACGGAGTCTTAAATTGTGAAGATTTAAATCTTTTTCATTAGAATTGTAAAATTTAAATTATGGTAATTAAAATTGTAATCTGAATTGTCATTTGGATATGTAAATAAATTATAATTTGAATTAGAAATAAAATTCGAATTGTGTTTGAATAAAATATTTAAAATTATTATTAGAATTTTGTAATAAATTTTATAAAATTTCATTATAAATTACATTAAAAAATATGTAATATAGGTAGAGATTTGCTCATCTCTTCATTATGAACACATAAAAAAATATTTTTATCGGAATTAAAACAAAAACGTTATGATATTTTTCAGATTGAAATTAAAAGGAGAGAAAAAGTAGAATTTACCGTTCATTTCACCGATACGAGTTTATAATTCGAGTTTTATTACAGTAAAAAGCTCTCAGAAATAGTCACATCTAACTTTTTGCTACAGTAAAAATCTTTCACATTAAGTCACATCTCAACTCAAATTAAAAACTCGAATCAACGAACTAAACAAGCCTGATTGTTGACAATAATTCAGATTATTTGAGTTGTCCTTGAATCATTATTAATAATTTAAATTGTCTTCTCAAACACCGGTTTGAATTCTGAACTTTTGAATCTTAAACAAGGCATTATTTAATGGAACAAACGACAATAATAAAACTGGTAAACAATTGTATAGAGCAAACGACATGAAAACAAGCAAACAACTGCATAGATCAAACAGGAACAAAATGGACCTAGAACTTAAAACAAACAAACGACATGGAACAAGAAAACAACAGAAAATATCAAACGACAGAAATGTCTAGAAAGCGACAACAAAAAAACGACATTACAAGCGATGCATGTCGATGTTTTAAAAGGAATATAAGAGAATTTTCTAGTCGTTCTCGATAAGAAAATTCTTGAGTATTCCATATCACAACCTAACTAATGACGAGCATAATGGATTCACTGAATCCTTCTAACTGATCACTTTTTCGTATCAACACGAACATTCGGATTTCTTATCCTTTACTTAATTAATTACTAAGACTTTATTTTTTAAAATATTTACTTGATTTGATTCGTATTTCTTATCCTTTACTTAATTACTAAGACTTTGTTTTTATTTGAGCGTGCGTTGGAGTGCCTTGTATACCCGCTGCCCAAAGGTAAAACATCAGAGTAGGTGAAGTAGTGATAGACGAATACCGACGCTAAGATTTTCACTCCCAACAGCATGCATTCAAAAATGAGAATTTCATGCATTAATATGTTATTGATTCTATCTTAAACGGACTAAAACTTTATCACATAAAAAATGCTATTTCTTATATTTTCTTTTGCTTTGGCTTTCAATTTAAATTGCTTTGCAATTGAAATCTCACTTTAAGAACTTGATTGAGTACAAGAACAACGTCTCAAGTCGGTAGAAGCTAAGGAATTTTAATTTCTAATAACAGCCTAGTGTCGACTGAAATGGTAATCTTCAGTTTGAATAGTCAAAACAAAAAGTCAAACTTTTGTTGACATTAATTCTTATAAATGGAATTTTAAAAAATTGGTCTGATTCTCGTTTTGTGAACTGAGATCCATTGCATCTGCATTTACCCGGTATCACTTGTTCTATATCTTTCAAATTTAGGCATTTTAAGTAATTATATCTAAAAAAAATTATAAGAATAAGGACTTCTTGCGGTGAATCATAAATATTTAAGGGACGTTTGTTTCTGTATTCATCCATGATTTTGAATTATGATTTATGGTTCTTTACAGTATTTTTTTTTCATAAAAAACATACAAAACAAAAATAATTATAAATCATGATTATAAATTCATGAACTAAACATTCACTTATACTTTTCCATGAATATGAATATACTTCACTAAAATGCAACCGACATTAATAATTAAAGAAAAAACATAAAACTCGAAAACGGTTTAAAAATTGAAAGGGGAAACGATAAGGCAACAACAAATTTGAAAAAGAAAAAGAATAATGGCAGAAAATTAACAAACTGGATACAAATTAAAAATGAAACCGAAAAGCGATAACAGCAATGAAAATGGGGGAAAAAATGGAAAAGTTAACAAATTGGAGAACAAACGGCAATGAAAAAGTGAAAATGCAGTGAAATCATGCGACAGAAAATGAAAACCACAACAAACTGCCCAAGTGCTCTGAGTTCTGACTCGTCAATTGGCCACTTGTTTATTTTTTGTTTTTACATCTTATTGGGCGAGTTTAAAATTATTTTAAAAAATATTTATGCACGTCTTTTAAAACACGAAAACAAAAATGATTTGTAAATCTCGTTTGTTTAATAAAAGTTTTAAAAACGGAAACGAAAATAAAAAATAATGAAAATGATTTTTGTGAAGAAAGTAAAAAACGATTGAAAGTTGTTTATCTTTTTCTGTTTTTATTTTATAGTACTTATCAACAAAGTTATATTAAATAATTATTTATTAATTACTAATTATATTATATATTAATTAATAATTAATAAATAGATATAATAGATAGTAATTATTTAATTATTAATTAAATATACTAATTATTTTTCTTAATACACTAATTAATTACTTATAATCTAATAAATATCAGTAAATTACTAACACAGTAATTATTTATAATTAATTACTAATATTTTTTTTAATTATTTAGCATATTAATTTATTTTATATATAGTTTAATTACTAATGTACTCATTAATAATAATTTATCTATTATTATTATATTATTAATATATTAATTTTAGTTGCTAAATAATTATCAATTATTAACTACTTAATATATTAATTTAAGATTATTAATTACATGTACTTAAAACAAACATAAATGTAATTAAATGCGATTTTATTTTTTTATCATACTCAAATTAATCTATTAAAAAACCACTAAACATAATTTTAAAATTAATTTTAAAATAATTTTTAAAACAATCTCATTTTTATTTTTTATTGAAAATAAAACTATTTTAAAAATATTAGCAAATGGGCCCATTAATTCGTTCTCATCTGCAAATCAAATCGGGCCTTTTCGTCTTTAAAAGTGATTACATGTTTAGTATATTGTATGAACACTCTAAATTATATTGTTTAATAATAATAGAGATTTGGTCTTAAGTCCGAATGCGACTGTTTGCCTGACTCATCCGGCAGGCGAATTTCAACCATTTGACCAAATTGGGCGCATATGATTTATGTAGACCTCGCAGAAGAACGCATAGATTAGAGATATCTTTCACTGCAAGCTGCAATGCAGGTGTAGGAAATGTGTCAGATTCAGTTAATTATTTTATAGCAAACTGCAGGCTATAGACGTAATTCTGGTATAATAAAAAAGTATATTATATAATTAGCGAAATATAAAAATGTTCTTTTTGGGATAACATATGTCAAAAAATGTTCAAATGTAAGATCTATTGTAGACAGTGTAGTCCAGTACTTAGCGACATATATTCAGTTGGATTTTTGAATTATGGTAATTTAAGTATATATTTTGAGTTAAATTTAGATTATAATTTGAGTTAAAAATGTAACTTGAGTTTATATTTAGATGTGTATATTTGAGTTAATTTTTAAATTGAAAATTTGATTTGAGTATGTGTTTGGTACACCTAAACTTGAGTTGTAAATAGTTAAAAATGAACGGGAGGTAATTATTTTGTTTAAAATTTATTATTAAAATAAGAGAAAGTAATTTTTGTCAATAATTACG